TGAAGCAGAATGTAGAAGGAAAGATAGAAAGGTACAAAGCAAGGTTTGTGGCGAGGGGGTACAGTCAGACATATGGCATTGACTACGATGAGACCTTTGCTCCAGTAGCAAAGATGAACACCGTGAGGATTCTAATCTCCTGTGCGGCAAATTTTGGGTGGCCTTTACACCAACTTGATGTGAGGAATGCCTTCTTGTATGGGGACTTGAGGGAGGAGGTATACATGGATATTCCACCTGGGTTCTTGACTTCGGAGACTACTGGCAAGGTATGCAGGCTAAAGAAAGCTCTTTATGGATTGAAACAATCTCCAAGAGCTTGGTTTGACAAGTTTAGATGGGCTGTGTGTGACATGGGGTATGGACAATGCAATGAAGACCATACATTGTTTCATAGACACTCTAAAGGAAAAATGACCATCCTTGCAGTTTATGCTGATGATATCATTATCACCGACGATGATGACGTAGAGATAGCAAGGTTAAAGGGGTGTCTGAGTAAGGCATTCGAAGTTAAAGATCTTGGCCGACTCAAGTACTTCCTTAGTATAGAAGTGGCAAGGTCTGGAAAAGGAATAGCTCTTTCTCAAAGAAAGTATACCCTGGATCTCCTCTATGATGTTGGCATGTTGGGTTGTCGAGCTGCTTCAACCCCAATTGATCAAAATCATAAAGTGACTGCCCAATCAGGTGATCTGGTGGATAAAGAAAAAATATCAGCGATTGGTGGGAAGATTGTTGTACTTGTGTCATACACGACCAGACATTGCATTTGCAGTAAGTGTTGTAAGCAGATATATGCATGAGCCTAGAAGTGAACATCTAGAGGCAGTATATAGAATCCTGAGATACTTGAACGGTTCTCCTGGGAAGGGATTGATATATAAAAGTTATGGACATCTTGTTGTGGATGGTTATTGTGATGCTGATTGGGCTAGCTGCCTGGATGATAGGAGATCAACTTCAGGCCATTGTGTCTTCGTAGGAGGAAATTTAGTGTCTTGGAGAAGCAAGAAACAACCCGTTGTTTCCAAATCAACCGCAGAGGCTGAATGCAGATCCATGTCTCAGGGATTGAGTGAGTTGTTATGGATAAGAAATCTATTAGAAGAGCTGAAGATATTGAAGACCAGTTGTATGAATGTATGGTGCGACAACAAGTCGGCAATTAACATAGCAAACAACCCAGTTCAACATGATAGAACCAAACATGTGGAGATTGATAGATTCTTTATCAAAGAAAAACTGGATGCTGGGATTATCAAGATAGAGTATGTGAGTTCAGGACAACAAATTGCAGATTGATTGACTAAAGAACTGGGAACTAGAGAATGCAGTTCAACGTGTGACAAGATGGGAATGATAGATATCTACCACCCATCTTAAGAGGGAGTGTTGACCGGTATGGGGGCCTGGCCCATCCTACTGTTGGCATAGGGCCCAAGCCCATGTGTATCTGACCTAGATGAGAGCACCAGACACCTATCTGGAGAGGGGCATGAGGCATACACGAGAGAAGTCTCAGCCGCCACTCGCCTATACACACAGCTATTCTCCCGATTCAACATGAATCACTATAGAAATTTGGTTAATGTATGAAGAGTAAATTAAGTGCAAGAACATACTTTGCCTGAACTGATTTCTACATTGTGCACACGAAGCCTTTTAATTCGTATTCTGAATCATTTTGATGCGCATAGCAAAATTTTATTCAAGCGAAGCTCGAGACAAACGAGGCTGACATAAACTTACAAAATGAACAAAATCCAGAATGTGCTCATTATCGGCATAGAAATCTGCCACCGGCATGTCAAGCTTATGAAAGGAACTACATCAACATTGTTTGTTCAATTCAAGACAGCTGCAGCCTTGTATGACTCGACACTGTCCCTTAGGGTCTCTTCAAGTGGCTTGGTTTTCCAGCCCAGCATCTCAAGCTTCCTTGAACTAAACGAGGGTTCGTCATCCACTTGGACAACCCTGCCATTAATTTGGAGCAAAAATACGCATCAGGCCACACTAGCCATGTCATGGCATCATTGGCATGCCACCATTACCAATTTGCCTATGCAAGAAAGATGGACTTATATGCAGAAATAACAGACTGATTATCATGCATTCTAGCAAGTATGCAGAAACATCATTTTTGTTTCATTCTATATAAGAAATCAGCTAAACAATTCAGAGGAAGCGTTGTAACTATCACTAAGTTTCAATTATAAGCGCATGCATAAACATCAATTAATGTCAGGCTTACTTGTTGGCAAATGTCGCCCCCAAATGTCACCCCAATTTTGTTTTTTTCACCGACAAAACACTGCTGCTCCGTTTCGCATGAAAATTGTCAAGCATACTTGAGACACTAACACTAACATCCACAACAAAAAAAATCAGAATTTTTTGAAAAGATTTACTATTTTTTTCGCGTTACTGTTCACCCGGGAGTATGTGCTCACGGGAGCCAAAAAGCCCCTTCGTCTTTTGTGGACAATTTTTGAAGCCAAGTGTGTACTTATTCGCGGACGGAGGATGTACAAAGTTACGGACGCAATTAAATATGTTTTCTTCATTAAGAGAACATTTTTTTCATACATATAGTTCAATTATGAATTATATCGAGTAAATAGCTAGAAATTTACTTAATACATAAATAACAGTAAATGAATTAAAGAGATACTAACTTTGACATGAACAAATATAATTTAGTATCTTCCATGTAGAAAACATTTGGAGCGTTTTAGATAAATGTTTTTGGAAGATACTACACAAGGAACCTTAACTTGGTATTCCAAAATATAATACGTATACAATATTACATAACAAGAGGAACATAAAGCTATATTTGTGCATAATAGCCTAAAATAAAGTTGCTTTCTAAAAGCTCAAAGTTTTGCAGTGGTATATGATGGATTGGGACCATCATGGATCAACAGATTTCTTGTAGTGCCTTATTCTTATCCTGATTTTTTTGGAATATCTTCGTCAAATGTTTCCAACTGAATTCTTCAAAATTTCTTAAATTTTCTTGAAAAAACAATCTTTGTAGCTTATGCTACATCCGTGAAAACTACCGCTACATCATTCTAAACTCACTCACAATCTGGGTAGCGCGTCTGCTTTCACACGGTGCTCGCCTGACTCTGCTAACTGCAGTCCTAGACTCACTCACAATCTATTTTATGTCAGTTTTCCGTCTACCTAAGTCAATTTTAGCAAAACTTGACGCCATTCGGAGGGCGTTCTTCTGGTCTAATGAGCCCATTTGCACGGGTGCAAGCTGTTTAGTCGCGTGGAAAAACGTTTGCAAACCGAAAGATACTGGTGGTCTAGGCATTAAAAATCTCGAAGTTCAGAACCGCTGCTTGCTTATGAAATTCTCTTTCAAGATTTTGCAGAACCCAAACGTCCCTTGAACACGGTGGTATCACCAACAGTACCCTCTTGACATCTCAGCAAAAATTCCAAGGCCATCCTTCCTCTGAAAAATTATCAACACAAATTTGTCCCTCCTCATCGACCACTCATTTGTGATCACTTACAATGGCCTTTCCACCTTCTTTTGGTTAGACAAATGGCTACTGCACTTTCCTCTCCACAAAGTATTCCCCAACCTACACTCACACTCGTTGGATGACAATGTTCTAGTGGCTACAATATGGCAAAAGGCTTATTAACGAACCTGCGGAACCGTCTATCTAATGCTGCTGCTCGCGAGTTGGATTCTGTGTTGTTGCTGTTGCAAGATTTTCAGCAGGTAGACCGATCTGACGAACGGTCCCTCTCCCATGGACTGCCGTTCTCTGCCAAGAACGCCTACTCCTCCATTCTTGCTGAAGACTACGACGACCCCCACCACGACTTTGTCTGGGCCTCCAACGTACCAATCAAAGTCAAGACCTTCGCCTGGCTTCTCCTCGGCGATCGGCTAAACACGAAAGCCAACATGTTTCACAAGCATATTGCCCAATCAACTGCTTGCCCCAGGTGTCAAGACCCGCATGAGGATGCTCTCCATCTCATCTCCAACTGTTCCTACGCAGCACAGGTTTGGTCTTCTTTGGGTCTGCCGTCCCCAAACTCCCTGGATGATCTGCACCAACATCCAATGATTATTGGCCTCGACCCCAACATCTGGCCTTCGGTTGCTCTGACTATTACATGGAAGATATGGGACTCGAGAAACGCCCTCGTCTTCAGAAACGAGGATCACTCCCACAGAACTACAATACGTAACATTGTAGCAGATTTCTCCCTCTGGGTCTTCCGGTTCAAAAAGAAAGAAGACAATATCTCTGCTAAGCAATGGCTTAATTTCCTCTCTGCTGCTTTTCATTAACACCTGTTGTTGTAAACTGAACTACTGCTATAATTCTTCGTTCCTCTTTTGAGTGGTAATATATTCAGGTGGGGAAGCTCTACCCCCCGGTGACCGTTCAAAAAAAAAACATCATTCTAAACCATACTGAAATAGTCTTATGGGGTAAATATGTCTAGCTTTGATAGTTGGTGTTATTTAGAAAAAGAGGATTGTTTTTACTTTTCAATTGTGCTACTGAATACAGTGTTGTTAGTCCAACATTTGAACCATAAAAGCTAGCCATAGCATGTTTTTGACGGCTATTGTCCCATCAAAGGGAGGTAAAAATATACATAAATTTAGAATTCAGCATTTTCAAAAGATTAAACATTTATTTGGGAAGGTGAACCACTATAGAAATTCTGTTAGTGTATGAAGAGCAAATTAAGCGCAAGAACATACTTTGCCTGAACTGATTTCTACATACTTTGCCTTTTAATTTTATGACTAGGGAAGGATCATCTTCTGGTATTCTGAATCATTTTGATGCGCATAGCAAAATTTTATTCAAGCGAAGCTCGAGACAAACGAGGCTGACATAAACTTACAAAATGAACAAAATCCAGAATGTGCTCATTATCGGCATAGAAATCTGCCACCGGCATCTCAAGCTTATGAAAGGAACTACATCAACATTGTTTGTTCAATTCAAGACAGCTGCAGCCTTGTATGATTCGACACTGTCCCTTAGGGTCTCTTCAAGTGGCTTGGTTTTCCAGCCCAGCATCTCAAGCTTCCTTGAACTAAACGAGGGTTCGTCATCCACTTGGACAACCCTGCCATTAATTTGGAGCAAAAATACGCATCAGGCCACACTAGCCATGTCATGGCATCATTGGCATGCCACCATTACTAATTTGCCTATGCAAGAAAGATGGACTTATATGCAGAAATTAGAAATAACAAACTGATTATCATGCATTCAGACATTCAGTGATTCCACATGGCACAAAGCACCCTAGCAAGTATGCAGAAACATCATTTTTGTTTCATTCTATATCAGAAATCAGCGAAACAATTCAGAGAAAGCGTTGTAACTATCACTAAGTTTCAATTATAAGCGCATGCATAAACATCAATTAATGTCAGGCTTACTTGTTGGCAAATGTGTAAGCAGGATACATGCCCTTCATCAGGTCTATGACATCAGAGACTTTCCTTGCATGTGAACTGCATACATAGCGTCCGGAGACCTCTGGGGTTTCATACACCAAGATGAGAGCATCGGCAACGTCTCGAACATCCACGAAGTTTCTGATTTTGCTCTTTACCTCATTATCACCTACAGAGAGTCAGAGCATAAAACCATTCCATATAAACTAATGTCTGAATATTAGGCCTAATGCAGCATGGAAACACAGGCAACGAGCGCTGTGGTGATGACTATTTCGGAGCAGTGTTGCAAAGTGAGATAACCTTTCAAGAAATCAACTATGACCGAACTGCTCGCATTCACCGTAGGTTGCAGCAAGGGCCCGATCACCAGCGACGGACAGACGGTCACAACATCTAACCCGCTTCTCTTTGCGTAATCGAAGGCCTGAAGCTCTGCTAGTGTTTTGGAAAGGTTGTACCAATTCTGACAGAACAATGTGAGTCAGAATTAGAAACTGTGGAAACTGTAAACCACATGTCTGCATAACTAAGACGATATTTGAAAAGCATGAATTTCACTGTAGACAACCCAATTCTTCAGAATCGTATGATAATTAATAATCAGCAACTGTGTGATACGTAATTTCTAGCACAAGCGTAACACACTGCAGTAAGTCGCGAAATGTCAAGAAATTAATGACTACATACTTGCAGGAACGATCATGACTCGTGATTTGGTTGGTGATCTCACCTCTGTGGTTCTGCAGTAGTCGACGTCAGACCAGCAGTCTTCATCCATGGGCTTGCCTTCAGGCCAGCTGGGGTTCGTCATGACTGCAGCGACGGAAGACACCATCACAACCCTCTTGACCTTAGCCTCAGAGCAAGCTTTCAGGACGTTCATCGTGCCAGTCACAGCAGGGGCAATTAAATCAGCCTGCAGAAACATGGAGGCGCTGGTTGGATTACAAGAACAGAACAGGACGTGTTCCCCTGTACCCGTTTATTGACTGAATTTCGAAAGACAAAACGAGAGGGTGGGAAATGGGGAAGGGGTAAAAGTACCTCGGGGTTGGGGGTGTGGTTGGCGAGGACGGGGCAGGCGACATGGAAGACGACGTCGCAGCCGGCGATGGCCGCCGCCATGCTGTCGTAGTCCAGCAGGTCGGCCTTGAACAGCCGCAGGCTCTCCGCGGCGCCGTCCAGCGCCGCCAGGTGCGCGTTCTTGGCGTCGCCTTCCGGCAGGAACAGGAGATCGAATCTTCGTTCAGCATCGGTCACGGTCACGGAAGAATCCAACGGTTCGAGAAACTCACCGGGGTCACGGACGGTGCCGTGGACGGCGTAGCGGCCGCCGCCGCGGGAGAGGAGCAGCTTGACGAGCCACGAGGCCACGAAGCCGCCCGCGCCGGTCACGCACGCCGTCGTCGTCGTCGTTCTCCCGGCGCCGTCCATCGTTGCTATGGCACGAGGGAAGAGTGTCGCAGGTACTAGCGGCGGTCAACGAGCGCACGCAGCTATTTGATGGCGCGCTGGTTTGGCCCACTATTGGAGCACGTGGAAATCGCATGAGTTGACGAAACACTTTGATGATGGTACTCTACTGGTTAATTATGCAGTGGACGGATAGAGCTGGCAAATTTGAGTATTAGTACAAGTCTGAGCTCGTGCCGTGCCGACTGCGCTTTTTTTTTCCGGAAATGTTAACGCCCATACATGTGGATGTTGACTATCTCGACCACACGCATCCATCACCGTCTAGTACTATATGCATGAATCTTGGCACAATCTGACTGATTTTCTGTGCCACGTAGGACAAGGCGTATGTGTGGTGTGTGACATAGTTCGCCCACACATCCGTTTTACCACACGGAAGGGGCGGTGTGTGGGCGTTTAGCAGTTCACCCACACACCAGTTTTTAGTCACGCACAAGGGCTGGTGTGTGGGCATTTGCCATCTCGCCCACACGCCCGTCTCCTCTCCCACACCCTAGCTGCTAGTTGCCATGTGTTTTTGCAACGTCCATGGCAACTGCCCTAGTGTGCTTTATAAGCAGGTGGCAACTCTCTTTTTTTACCCGAGTTGCCATATGTTTTTGCAGGGTACACGGCAACTGCCTAGTGTGCACGTAAGCAGATGGCAACTCTCTTTTACCGAGTTGCCATGTGTTTTTGCATGGTATATGGCAACTGTCCCAACGTGCACGTACATGGCAACTGCCCTAACATGCACGTTAGCAGATGGCAACTCTTTCTTTTTACATGGCAACTGCCCTAGCATACTTGTGAGCACATGGCAACTCTCTCAAACTGCCTAGTGTTAGTATGTGGCAACTCCTAAAGTTATGAAATCATGGCAACTACATTAGATCAGACCATACATGGCAACTGCAGTTGAGCAACCATGGCAACTGCAGTTGTCCGACATGGCAACCGTAGTTCAGCGATATGGCAACTGTAGTTAAACGAACTTGGACGAGGGTCTGGACCATGGCAACTGTGGGCGCGCGGTGGGCGTCACGCGTCGCATGCGGGACCAGGATGGTACGAGGCCTGACATACGGGCGTGTGGGCGTTATCAACTTCGCCCACACGCACGCGTGTGAGAGGGGTCGGGAGGGAAAAAAAGATATGTGTAGGCATTAGTTGTTTTGCCCACACTTAGGTGTGTAGGCTGGTTGCTGTCCATGCCACACGGGGTGTGTGGCACAACTACCCGATACACCACACGTGTGACAGTTATCGGGATCTTTTTTTTCACACTACTACACTACCGCGGTGGCCTGTGCAACAGAGCACTGAGCGGCGTGGCAGAGCTTCCCATAACCACGAATCACACACGGGGGTCCAACTACAGAAGGTGAAGCGGTGGCCCATGCAACAGATCACTGACACTGAGCACCTCCATCGGTAAAAATAAAACCCGTAAAAATGGTTTTATGAAGTGTCCATATAATTTAGATGAAGTCCTCACGTGAGATTTTTTTTCTCAGTTCCCGTAAAAGGATTTCATAAAAATGATTTTTGACGGTGACACGACGGCGGCGGCAAACTTGGGACCACGATGGTCTTATTTCATTATAACAAATCTGCCAGGCGAGCGGCGCCATGGCGGCGGCGGCAGTAGTCGGTTGGGGTGGCGTGCTGGTCGATGACGGTACGGTGAGCATGATGAGAGTGCCGCCGACTCTGATGACGGCGCACTCATGTGGCATTTTTATGGGAAGGCCTATCTTTCCATAGATGTAGGAAAAGTTTTAGACATTATAGATGATCTTATAAGTTTTTGCGTGTTTACTAGAGTTGTTGAAGAGTTTTTTTTTCAACTTTCCCTAAACCATGATTATTTTAACGATACGAAAATTATTGGCAATACTCTAAAAGTGGATTTCTTGCTCACAAGCTTTATGGAGCTTGCTTTTCAAAAAAAAAAACAAATGTAATATTTAAATTTTTTAAAAATTCCTAAAAGAGAAACATACAAAGGGATGTATATTATATTTTTGTAGGTGAAAATATTTGTTTTATCCACACAAAAATAAAACCATGAATGATATGTAAGATGATTGACCGCAATTGTTGGATGGAGTGGATTAAGAGATGCTCGGCTCGTTAAGCTCGTGCTCATTAAGGCTCGGAAACTCTGCTCGGCTCGGTTTGTTTGAAACTCGTTAAACTCATGAGCGCTCGTTAACAGATTTTGATGTGTTATTGTTTACAGGATGAGTGTGTAGATGTGGTTTTTACGAAGGAAGATGGTGACTACAAAAGGAAATGCAACAGTTTGTTGCCTCTGATGTAGATTAGATTGAATATATGGACTGAGGTGCTACGGAACTTTTGTCATGTAAGATAAAAAATATGTGTTGGTGTTGTTATTAACGAGCTTAATGATGACCCACAAGTATAGGGGATCAATCGTAGTCCTTTCGATAAGTAGGAGTGTCGAACCCAACGAGGAGCAGAAGGAAATGACAAGTGGTTTTCAGCAAGGAAGTATCTGCAAGCACTGAAATTGTAGGTAACAAGTTGTTTGATAGCAAGATAATTTATAACAAGCAAGTAACAGTAATGGTAACAATAGTGCAACAAGGTAGCCCAATCCTTTTGATGCAAAGGACAGGCCAAAACGGTCTCTTATGATAAGCAAAGCATTCTTGAGGATACACGGGAATTTCATCATATCACTTTCATCATGTTGGCTTGATTCGTGTTCGCTACTTTGATAATTTGGTATGTGGGTGGACCGGTGCTTAGGTGTTGTTCTTACTTGAACAAACCTCCTACTTATGATTAACCCCTGGTAAGAATCCGCAACTACGAGAAAATTATTAAGATAAAATCTAACAATAGCATTCAACTTTTGGATCCAAATCGTTTCTTTACGAAGTAGCGCATAAACTAGGGTTTAAGCTTCTGTCACTCTAGCAACCCATCATCTAATAACTACTCCACAATGCATTCTCTTAGGCCCAAATATGGTGAAGTGTCATCTAGTCGACATTCACATGATATCACTAAGACAATCACAACATACATATCATCAAAATATCGAACACATATCAAGTTCACATGATTACTTGCAACATGACTTCTCCCGTGACCTCAAGAATAAAAGTAACTACTCACAAATAATAATCATGCTCAAGATTAGAGGGGTATTAAATAGCATAATGGATCTGAACATATAATCTTCCACCAAATAAACCATATAGTAATTAACTACAAGATGTAATCAACACTACTAGTCACCCACAAGCACCAATCTAAGGTTCCGATACAAAGACTGAACACAAGAGATGAACTAGGGTTTGAGAGGAGATGATGTTGTTGAAGAAATTGATGGAGATGGCCCTCCCAAAGATGGGAGAGTTGTTGGTGATGACGATGACGATGATTTCCCCCTCCGTGAGGGAAGTTCCCCCGGCTGAATCGCTCCGCCGGAGGGCAAAAGTGCTCCTGCCCAAGTTTCGCCTCGAGACGGCGGCGCTTCGTCCCGAAGGTCCTCCCCTTATTTTTTTCTAGGTCAAAATGACTTATTGATACGTCTCCAACGTATCTATATTTTTTGATTGGTCCATGCTATTATATTACCTGTTTTGGATGTTTATGGGCTTTACTTTACACTTTTATATCATTTTTGGGACTAACCTACTAACCGGAGGCCCAACCCGAATTGCTGTTTTTTTGCCTATTCTAGTGTTTCGCAGAAAATGAATATCAAACGGAGTCCAAACGGAATGAAACCTTCGGGAGCGATCTTTTTGGAACAAACACAATCCAGGAGACTTGGAGTGGACATCAAGAAGCGAACGAGGCGGCCACGAGAGTGCGCGGCGCGCCCCCCACCCTCGTGGGCCCCTCAAGCGTCAACCGACATACTTCTTCCTCCTATATATATCCACGGACCCTGAAAACTTCCAGGAGCACCACAAAAAACTATTTCCACCGCCGCAACCTTTTGTATCCGCGAGATCCCATCTTGGAGCCTTCGTCGGTGCTCTGCCGGAGGGGGAATCAACCACGAAGGGCCTCTCCATCATCACCAAGGCCTCTCCGATGAGTTGTGAGTAGTTTACCACAGACCTTTGGGTCCATAGTTATTAGCTAGATGGCTTCTTCTCTCTCTTTGATTCTCAATACAAAGTTCTCCTTCCTCTTCTTGGAGATCTATTTGATGTAACTCTTTTTGCGGTGTGTTTGTTGAGATCCGATGAATTGTGGGTTTATGATCAAGTTTATCTATGAGAAATATTTGAATCTCTTTTGAATTCTTTTATGTGTGATTGGTTATCTTTGCAAGTCTCTTAGAATTATCAGTTTGGTTTGGCCTACTAGATGATCTTTCTTGCAGTGGGAGAAGTGCTTAGCTTTGGGTTCAATCTTGCAGTGTCCTTTCCCAGTGACAATAGGGGCAGCAAGGCACGTATTGTATTGTTGCCATCGAGGATAAAAAGATGGGGTTTATATCATATTGCTTGAGTTTATCCCTCTACATCATGTCATCTTGCTTAATGTGTTACTCTGTTCTTCATGAACTTAATACTCTAGATGCAGGCATGAGTCGGTCAATGTGTGGAGTAATAGTAGTAGATGCAGGCAGGAGTCGGTCTACTTATTACGGACGTGATGCCTATATACATGATCATGCATAGATATTCTCATAACTATGCACTTTTCTATCAATTGCTCGACAGTAATTTGTTTACCCACCATAATAATTATGCTATCTTGAGAGAAGCCACTAGTGAAACCTATGGCCCCCGGGTCTATTCTCTATCATATAAGTTTCCAATCTACTTTATTTTGAAATCTTTACTTTTCAATCTATATCATAAAAATACCAAAAATATTTATCTTATCATATTATCTCTATCAGATCTCACTTTTGCAAGTGCCCGTGAAGGTATTGACAACCCCTTTATCGTGTTGGTTGCAAGGTTCTTGTTTGTTTG